GGAAACCCGGAGGTGCTGAGCCACACTTGTCTCTGACCGCTGTGCCTGACAAATGGCTTACTTCCTCGTTTTCTGAACGTTTCCTCCTTTCAAGGTGAGTCTCGCTCGTCTGTTTGCGGATCTTTGGCCTCACGACCATTTCGGACTGAAATGTTTCTTCGGGGTTGGTTTTTCCTGTGCTTTTATAGGAAGCGGGTACAGAGCTGGCTGTAACCCCGTGACATTTTGGAGCTTGGTCTTCACCAACCAACAACGGACTAACTTTCCTATTTGCTTTTACAGTTCTTTCAAAATCTGGTTGCTCACAGCAAAGGTCTGTCGCGCTTTTAGAAGGTGCCATTTGCACTGAATGTTTCCTTATTTTTGAAAATACATTAGGATGCGAATCATCAAGCGAATTTCCACCCAATTCACAAATACCATCAAGTCTCTTCTGAGCAGCCGGAGATGGATTTAAACTCGAGTCCTCCTCCTCAGCCCCGCTGCTGTCAGGCTCATAGGCGTCAATGTTGATGTAACTCAGAGCTTCCGGGTTGGGCTTAGGGTCTTCACTGATGGGCCACACTCTAGCCTGTTCGCTTTTTTCTATGCCAGAATAATATTTTCTGTCATATGGCACAACCTGGTCACTCTTTGGTCTCTTGAAATGGTTTAAGGGGGCTTTTGTGACTCTACACAATGAAGACTGCCTCCTGCTGTGGCCCTCCTGATTTGATGCTGCGTTTAACTCAGGGCGCACTGCATTTGTGCATGCTGTCGGCAGGATATTCTGAAGCACTGAAGAAATGTTGCCCTTTGATGCTAGAAGAAAAAGGTTTCCGTAATTATTCATTCTCCTTCACAGAATATTATTTCATTGTTTTGTATAGGAAGTAAGTGTATATGCACTATAGACTGAGTGTGACAAAGAAATTTTTTGGTTACATTTCCTCCAAATTTACAAGAATATAAGAAGATTTATTCTTTGCATCACAAAAAATAAAACCTATTTTAGAAAAATTTCGATTCTCTGTATTGTCTCTTTCATGACAACTGTGTTTACCCCAAAATTGTCATTACTGTAATAAACCAAGCCTCATTCATTATTGTAATAAAATAATAAAAATCCCCTTGTCCTGAAAATTAAAATTACCTTAATTTTTTTTTTTTTAAATGACAAACTAAAGGCAGTGCAATAAATACTATTGTGCCACGTACTTAATTATACTTCACAATGTAAACAATTTATTTTTATGAAGAAAAAAATCTCATTTAATAATTAAACATTTTAATAAATCTATTTTTCTCAATGAGGTAAACTAGAATGACATTTTTATCAATTCAGGGACATTAAGAGACCGTTTCGAGTAAGAAAATGAGAACATGCTTTAACATGTGCGTAATTGCTGTAAAAAAAAAATTATGTTGCAAAAAAAGTCTTACTGGACCTGACAACAGGCTTCATTTTCTTAATGAAAAATATTTTTTTGTTGTTTTCATTTGGTTTTAGGGGTGAAATTTCCTGGGGATTTCCTGACAGTCACCCTATAAAAACATAAGAAACCGAAACCCATTTCAAACTACTTTCTACCCACCCTCACCATTCTCGTATATATTTGCATAATAAAGTCAAATGGTCTCCTACAGGGTTTCTGTCTACATCTTTTAAAGGTGATGAATTCTTCACTTTAAAGCAGAACAACCCACACACACACACGCATATTTCAGCTCTTCAAAATCCCTGTTACATTCCCAATATTACAAAGCTGCTTATTCACCATGAGAACCTCAATCTCAAAATCTCAAAATCCATTCCTCCACTTTTATTGCTCACAGATTTCCAGCTACTCAGGATTTGTTTGCTGAAGTTTGTAATTTTAACATAATATTTGAATATAATATTCAGTGACAACTATAAGTAAGCCATATTTAAGTTGATTTCCAGAATAATCTTTAAAAAAATTGTATCTGTTTATTTTGATTGACAATAGCTTGGCTTGAGTTTGGAGTGGGATCAGTTTTTCAACCAATAGCAGTCATTAATTTTGCAAATCTGTTTTTTTTCCTCATTTGTGCCGAGAAAATTACACACTTGGGCTTAAATGTTGAGTAACTCTTTAGTTTAATTATCCACTAAGGGTTTCCATCACCATCTTGTACGTACCCACTGCCGGGTCCTTTTGACTTCTCGTCCTCTCCATGTTTTGACAGTCTCTTTGTTTATCTGTAACTGGCCGGAAACTGATATACGCGTGTCTCCGGCCGTACCTCCTGCCTGAGATGGTCTGGTATCCTCCTGTTGGTTTGGGCCATGCAGACTTGCCTGCTTCTTGACCCATTCCTACGAGAAACAGAAGCATACATTCACACCAAGAACAATAACTATGAAGATAACCATAACTATATAGCTGTCCACACCAACGCAAGATATCGTTCTGTTTCTTATAAGTGTGTTATGTCAGTTATGTCATCTGCCACTTTAAATGCTCAAGCTCTTTGAAGTCAGACTCAGACTGCCCGTTTATGTTTTTATCAGCAATCAGCTGAAAAAAAAATTGTTCTTTCAGCTATATAGTTCCTCTGTTCCCGATTCACAAAGAATTAGAACAATTATTAAAACGTTACAGTTAGAACCACAGCTATCGTCCTTGGTGTGAACAGGCCTTGAAAGGGTAATTGACTGCTTGCAAGTTTGGCTTTTCATAAATCTTGACTGTCTTAACACTAGAAAGATTTTTTTTAAATGAAAACATACTGTGTGACACCTATGCATCAATTAACACAGTGTTTTATGTTACAAGGCCTAAAACAAAGAAGATTCAATTCTAACCAGTTCCAACCAAGATTCTCCATCTTTGATGCAGAAGATGCAGCAATCTTTTAAATATTGGTTCAATCCCTTATAAAACACATCCTGTTCAGGTGTTGGAGCATCTACTAATAAGTCATGGGTGTTAAACACAGGGAATATCTCAAATGTGCAATGCAGTGCTACTCCAGGACCAGGATTAGGACCAGGTTAGCTTTCTAACCTATGACAGCTCACACTGATGTTGATCAGAGTAACATCACGACTGCTTTAGCACAGCCTGATTATAACCCATCACTGTCTTGTTATTGTTGTCAATGTGGTTTGCAGCAAACACATCACATTCCATCCGTCAACAATACGCACTAACGGTGCTTAACATATGCTATCGCTTGTCACGTTACATGGAGATAAATCGTTGCAATAAATGCAATATACAGCCCTCAAAACAGATTTTTATCCAAAGAAACAGACAAATCCCGTGATTAGCATGATCAGTAGGATCAATTCAGTCGAATACGGGCCCTGATACAAGTTGAGCGCAGCTAACAAGCTAACGTTAATGTTTGTCGACAGGCGCTGCTGCTTCTAGGGCGTGGATTATAATGTCTGCCGACTCCTTCATTCCTCCAATTTCACGCAGAAAACTCACACGACGTTTTGGTTTAGGAAATGTGTCGTTTGTTAACGGACAGTACCTGTGTTCCTGGATGCCTTCTGTATCACAACTAACTATTGCGAACGTCAACACGAAACTTAAGGGTCACGTGACACATGTCCGCCAATCAGATGTGAGTATCATTGGCAGTATTATAATCGGGTGCAGCTAGGCAGCTGTAAAACAACTGCAACACCACGTGTGCAATTTAAAGCCCACCTGGAAACAGAAAGCAGGCGGGGATAGGATGGGATGGGATGGGATGGGATGCTATAGGACGGGACAGGGCAGGGTAGGATAGGATAAAATAGGGTGATACATTGGAATAATGCAAGTTCAGGTTGGATTAATTGTGTGAAACTGAAAAAGAATTGATTTCCAATGATGCAATTGCTAGGTGCTTCATAAAATATTAAGTGAATGTCTGTAGACCAGGAAATTATTAATTAATTCATTCATTCATTCATTCGTAAGTCAGCACTGCCAAACAGACATTATAAACCTAATAATTGGAGGAAACATACAACACAAAAATAATTTCAGTACATTAAGACCATTTTTTTGTATTATAAGTTTTCAGAAATGTTATGTTGAAATATACAAATGAGGCATATCTAATTAAATATGCACTACATATTGCATAAATGTCCAGAACAGAAATCTAAACATTGGATAAAGCAAGCATTTTGTTGACATTGAGTTAATGGTTTTTAAGGAGGGGATTTTGGATATCTCACTTTATCTCTTCATAAACCATAAAATACCACCCCATAAATCATCTCCATGAATACTGTCAGACTGCCAGAAAAAAATCACCATGTTTTATATAAGATGTTATACAAAATAGGTGGACGTTATATGAACAAACCATTCTGTATAAACGTTCAGAGAATAGAAAAGAATAAAAAAGAATAGAAAGTTTGGTGTATGTAAGTACTACTGAAATGCAGATTTCTTGTTCAGTGCATGAGAAAAAAACTCATTTTGAGAAAATGGTCTTCAAAGATATGTATTGTAATTGAAATGTACACAAGCAAACAGATGAAATGTAAGAAAATAAACCCTTAAATGTGTATTTTGGGTGTTTTCTTCCCACTAGTTTCAAAGACTACAAGTTACAAAATAACTCAAAATCTCAAAATTGACCAGTGCCTGAAAAAAATGGTTTTGCTTGTAGTGTTTTGCATTAATTCAGATTTATTTTAAATCTCAATATATTGAATATATTTTGAAATATAAGATATAACACGTTTATATCAAATATAGGCCTAACACAATAACACTGGACAAACATTTAGTTATAAATTCCATATTTTTACATTTCTATATGTTACAGGGCAGGCTATTAATAATCAGTGTCTGTCAAATGTTTTTGGGGGGTTATTTTAGATCTCTGGGACCCCACAGATAAAGACAGCCTCAACAGTAAATTGACTCAAATGTATGAGCTCACTTGATTGCGTGTGTGTGTGTGTGTGTGTGTGTATGTGTGAGAGTGTGAGTGATGCGTTCACTCGTTAGGCGGCGCAACTTCACACTCACTTTTTCAGCGCAGGAAGGGGGCAGGGTTGGCGCTTTTCCTTTGCCTGTTTGACCATCACAATTTGCTGAATCACACAAACTCTACCGCATCGTCAAAACTTTGAAGACAGATCGCAGTGGATTTCAGTCCGTGGATACACAGCGCGACATTTCCCCGCCGTCAGCTAAAGAAGGTGTCCCCTTCCGCACTACTCTTCATGGCGAAAAGACCGTTCTTTTTCACTTCTGCCTTCTGTCACCTACGGGACCACCGCTCGCGAGCCACACGCTTTTAAAAGTTTGCCTTTCGTGTGAATGTACAGGACTCATCTGAGAAATGAAGCTCAGCAGACAGTTCACAGTTTTTGGCAGTGCCATATTCTGTGTTGTGGTATTTTCCTTGTACCTGATGTTGGATCACATAGATCATAGCAAAAACCCAAATGGAGAGAGAATTCAAAATGTAAGTAGCCTACTGTCTTACGCTTATCAATAAATTGTGTTATATGAAGAGTGTTGTCAGCAGATGTGTGTTTTCTGTGTTCAGACTGCTGGTCCGTGAACTTACAGGGTAATATTAACTCGATGCTGATGTGGTTGATAAAAGACAGTAGTTTGAATTGATAGTTTGCTTCCTTCCAAGTGACATTATGCTGTTAAAATAATACACTGACACAAAGATGGCTGTGAGCAGGCTAAGCCATTTCCTGTTTCTTAAATACTTTATCGTGTGTTTTTATTGAATAACTTATTGTGATACTGTTCTAAGCAATTAAGAAAGCGAATTAAAATAAAGATTGTGTTAAGCTTCGGTCAGTGAACTGATCTCAAAGGTCATTAACCCGCAGTCCCCAGCGTTCATAGGTTGTGTTTCAAAATCCCAGCGAACTGCCTACAAAGACAGCACAGTGTGATTCCCACTGAATTCTGTCTTTGCATTCAAACAGGCACAGACTCCTATGAATGGTCCAATGAATATTGTATTTTTATGGTTGAAGTTAAGGTATCATTACAAAAGGCGCAAAAATGTATCCTCAGCAATAAGAACAACGATATTTCATGCACCTTAAGTAGCCTACACAGTTGTTAAATTCGAGTCTGATATGACTGAAAGAAAAACGTTTTGTTGAGTATTCGTTATGTCAGACTGATTTAAACCGAAATCATACGATTGTATGTTTTACGATTCATTAATTGAATCGACTCATAAGAGTCATTTGCTCGTGAATCAGACTACATTGCTCGCGCTGTACCTTTGCTTTTGCATGCAGCTTGCGAGGTCAGCTCAACAGAAAAAAATGAAGTTTTGGCATCATTTCATAGTCTTTTTATTCCATCTCATTCTATTCAGACTGTAAGCTAATAAAATATCATTTGTTTTGCTGTGACACTGGAGAGTTAGAAGCGGAGCTGAAAATGCGCAAACAGCTTTGACGCATCTCAACTGGCAGTTCACTCGGTTTTGAGACATACATAATTCTTGCTATTTTCCCTTACGTTTTCCACTTAATACTGTTAAAATGTGCGATTAAAAACAGATTCAAATACACTGTCATTACTCAAATGTAGGCTACTGTAAGTGATTTGTTTTCCAGTAAAGCTTCCTGGTGGTGTGGCCAGTTCAAATGAGCTCATGAATCGAAAGGGAGTCAGTTCTGAATTCTGAATTTTTTTCAGAAACAGAAACCTGTTATATTGGAAAACTGTCACATTTCTGATGTGTACAGAGGGTTAAGATTGACAGCCGAGAAACAGTGATGTTTAGTGAATTTAGGCTTACCCTAAATTCAGTAACAAGTCCTACAGGATTCACATGTGTCTTACATACACTGTTTATTTGAAATCCAGTAGACTAAACCTAAACTTAACACTCTGGCAGCAGCAAATATGAATCTCCTGAGAGTTTTACAAGGTTTAGCACTGATGTTCTTTGACATTGATGTACTATAATCTGGCATGACAAATATTCAAACACCTCTTTTGAATGACATTTGAGAGCCATAGTGGGAGAATTCGAAATGAATGTTGTACATTTTAGTCTCTACCATTTTCATAGACACAGTGCTTGTGCCTGATCTGGAAAAGTTGCCGGCCAGATGCTGCATTAAATTACTTTGGATGTTAAAATATATTTTTTAAATCCATAAGTCTTGTAAACAAAGTCTGAGATGTGCTATATTCAGTTTCGCTTAGTTATGTAGTAATGCATTCAGTTATGTCATTGTCTGAATTTTGTGCTGAAGGAGTATGTGATTTTGACCAGTGTTAAGTGTTTCTCTGTTTTTCTGTATTCTACAGGGTCAGCTTGGTATTCTGCAGGACAAAATAGACCACTTAGAAAGACTACTTGCAGAGAACAATGAGATCATTGGCAACATCAGGGACTCCGTAATTAACCTGAGGGAAACTGTGAAAGATGGGAAAATGTTTCCTGAAGGGAACATGAGTCAGGGGGACTTGGAATTGCTGCCCCCTGCTCCTGCGCTGCTCCCCATCCACTCAGAGGACTGCCAGTTTGCAGCACGGACCTACTCCAAGGCAGCGGATGGAGTACAGGTACAAAAAAAAAAGAAAAGATTAGGTTAAGATTAGGTGGACCAATTGATTGTCAGGGCTCAATAATAATATTTCTTTTGCTTGCCCAGTGATGCAGATTTCTATAGTACCTGCCCTGTCAGTATTTGATATAAAATTATATATATACAGGCGCGGATTAACGCACAGGCTTGCCTAGACTGCAGCCTAGGGGCCAGTGTTGCCAACTAATTTTCAGGGGAAGTTGCTAAAGGCAGATCGATTTGTTGCTAAAAGTTGCTAAATGACATTGTGATGTCATTGCGTGATGACTTCATTGCATAACCATGACACAATACACAACACGATTTTTTAAAATGTTATTTCATAAAAATATTATAAACATAAAATATTTTAATTTGTAAAAGTAACATCTTTATGATTGGATTTTTTACAACATTGAATTATTGAACAGTTACACATTTGATGTATTTTCTTATTAACCAGTAAAACTGCACATTCTGAACAATTATAGTTTTAAGCAGGTAGTGAGTTAGTGTGCTACACAAAAGTCTGTAAAAATAGGACACAATGTAATGTTAATATGAAGGAACAATCTGTATTCCACATTGCATTTTGTGTTTTAAGGTTACAGGGTTACAACTTAATGGATAACATCCAGGCAGAAATGACTAGTACCTTTTCAGTTTTTCTTACAGTTTACCTAACTGAACAACACTTATACAAGCTAATAACATGCTGTATCATAAATGTGCATTTATTATTGACCAATTGGAACTAGCAACTTAATGCACATTTGATGTTTGTGCTGTCAGGCATCTTTTTCCAGCTCTCTCCAGGTTGATGTTCTGCTTGGCTGGCTAGCTGTTCAATGGTTTCCTCTTTTTGTGTAATTTAGATGAAAATATGTGTCTTTTTATCATTTGAGTCACTTTACAAATGTTGCTAAAAGTTGACAAAAACTTTTAAAAAATAGCTAAATTTGTTGCTAGGTGCTTTTTGAAAAAAAAAAAAGTTGCTAGGGTAGTCTGAAAAGTTGCTAAATCTAGCAACAAAATTGCTAAGTTGACAACACTGCTAGGGGCCCACGTGTACAGGGGCCTCGGACTATTTTTTATTAATTTAAATTTACTTCAGCGCGAACAAAAAATACCCTCGATTGGTCCTTAAGAAACATTAAACGAGGATTCGTTGCAGATGAGCGTCTGACAAAATTAATGTCTTGTGCACGCTCAGCATCGCTGAGAGTTCGCGCGATCGTTAAATCGAAACCGAAAGTAAAACTCGCATGCGCATTCAAAAAAACGATTTTAATACCCCGCGTTTTGAAACGGACTCCCTGATGCGCGCAAATTAGGCTACATAACATATCTAGGCTGTTATTAGTATGTAGGCTATCATAGGTTGTGTAGTTGTCTATAGCTCTGTATCATGCTTTGAAAAATGTTGGTCTCTATTTGCACTTGAAATATTGAGAGAGTAGCCTACTCTGATGATGGCTGCACTTATTGTTTGCACTTAACATGACTAAGAAAGAACTGTGTTGTTTATTTTTTGTTATTCATACTGTTTTTATTTCTATGTTCAATTTGTGAAAAGGAGTTCAGTTAAGTGGTCAAACGTTCTAGAAGCTCATAATTCATGTAGCCTACAGTAAGGTCTGAAGAGACTCGCATGAAATCATACAGGAGAGAAGCAAGTTAGTTAAGTTTGTGGCAAAACCTTTTACAGTGCTTGAGTGTTGTTGTCTTTTACGGCATATGATAATTCATACTCGGAAAGTAGAACTGAAATGACATTTATTACAAGATGTTTAGTTAAAACAATTCAAAATGTACCTGCAGACTATTTTTCCAGTCATGTATTTGGTCATTGAGAATTTTTTTTAAAAGTGTAAAAATATCGCCTCTTTTAGTTCTCATGAACCCAATCTCGTGTCTCATCTCGTCTCGTCTCTTGAGTTAAGTGTCGGTATTAATGATAATCAAACAACAAAAGACGAGGAGAAAATCACTCCCTGCTCTTGACAGAATAGCATTTGTAGCTTTTATAAGAATTTATATAGTGAAAATTGTGCCCTACCATCACATTCACATCAATGCAACCAGTAAATAAATTGCTACTAGAGCACAAAATTGTTTACAAGAGGACATATTTCTTCATTGATCTAGTCACTTGAGTCTGCTCTCAAAAATGCACCAGATTTATGCATTTAAATTTAAAATGAACAAAATTTTCTTACAGGGGGGTATACCCCCAGAACCCCCTAGAGGAGCCAATGTGCACCCACCAGTCTCACAAAATCCTGTGGGGACACTGGGAATGTAGAGGAAACACTGTTGGATTGGCTGTCTCAATGTATGTGTGTGTATGCCAGTTCACCTTACTATTTGCTTGTGGACAATGTATGGCACTAAATACATTTCTCCAGTATAGCATAATGATTAAGGGGGCCTCACACAAAGAGCTGCTCATATATATATATTTGTGTGTGTGTGTGTGTGTTTAATATTTTACGAATAATTTCATTTAAATACAATCAATAATAATAAAATAAAATATATACAATCAATAATAATAAAAATATATAATATACAAATAATAGATATATACACAATATATATTATTAGACTGTAATTCAAATGCTGAATAAATTTTAAAATATATTAAAATAACCCTAATTGCAATAATATTTCACAATATTACTGTTTTTACTGTATTTAAAAAAAAAATCAAATTAATGCAGCTTTATGAGCATTAGTGACTTCAAGAATTATACAGACCCCATACTTTTGGCTATGGTAGTATAAATAGTTTATATTTATATATTTCTAAAAGTTTTCTTTACAAAAAAGTTACAACAATTTATAAAAAATATAGAAGGTTTTTTTACATTTTTTTTTGAGCAACAATAGCTGGAAATAAGCCAGTTTTAAATAACAGTGTGTATATAACATTTGCATAGGCCAAAAGGGCTGTGCAACTAATCGAAATACAGTTTTGATTTCGGCCTCCAGCGATTATGAAAATACATTAATAAAGGTAAAACGATTATTCCTCCCCATTCCGCCTTCCTTCCAGCGGTGTGGTTTCGCTCCACCATAAAAGCCCAATTTCATGTGCAAATCAGTTAAATCATGTAACGTGACTTTTGCCAAATGGGACGTGCTTGATTTATTAAAGTTGATTAGCTTTATTCATGTTTTTAAAAGCGCGAAAGAGAACTTGCGCTGCTCCTCAAGCAGCATTTCTGTGATGCGCTCAAAGACGGAACAGATCACGGACATATAAAGTCATCTTTTAGCTGAATGTGCGCGCCTAAACGGTCAAATACACGCAAAAATGTATCAAAATGCGGCGCTTAGTGATTATTCACGTAGTCCCTCGTCGGTCATGTAATAAACGTAAAGAGTTGAGAATGAAAATACGTGTGTAACTGTAAATTGGATCCGTGCGGCTCTTAAAGTGACAGTGGGCTATATTCCTGCTGCCGACTGTGTGCTTAATATTAATCAAACAACAAAAGACAAAGAAAAAATCACTCACTGCTCTTGACTGAAGGACTTTTGTAGCTTTAATAAGAAACAAATTAAGTTTAATTCGTACAGTGAAGACTATGCTGTTTTATTT